AGTGAGGACCTCAGCAGCATAAAAAAGATTCAATCAGAAATGAATGATATACTTACTGAAATAAAATCCAATTTATGGTAGGTTGTGTGAAACTGAGAAATCAATAATTTGCAACTTAAGGAAGCAAAAAACAACCAATGAGAACAACAAGAAAAAAATCCAAAAAAATGAGGACATTGTCAGCATCCTCTGCACCAGCTTTAAGCATTGTGACATTTGCTTCATAGGGGTGCCAGAAAGAGAAGAGAAAGAAGAAGTTGGAAATCTATTTGAACAAATAATGAAAGAAAACATCGCTAATTTGGTGAAGGAAATAGTCATGCAAGTCCAGGAAGCATAGTGAGCCCCAAACAAGATTGATGCAAAGAAGCTCACTCCAAGACACATCATAATTAAAATGTCAAAGTTTAAAGATGAAGAGAGAATCTTAAAAGCAGCAAGAGGAAAACAATTAGTTACTAACAGTGGGGTTCCCACAAGACTGTCAGCTGATTTCTCAAAAGGAATTTTGTAGGCTAGAAAGGATTGCCAAGAAATATTCAAAGTCATGAAAAGCAGGGCCCTACAGCCAAGATTGCTCTATCCAGCAGAGATATTTAGACTCAAAGGACAGATAAAGAGCTTCCTAGACAAGAAGAAACTAAAGGAGTTCATCATCACCAATCCATTATTATGTGAAATGTTAAAGAAGAATATTTAAGAAAAAGAAGATTAAAACTATGAACAAGAAAATGACAATAAATATATATTTATCAATAATTGAATCTGAAAAACAAACTCAGCAAACAAAACTAACAGAGACAGAATCATGGATACATAGAGCATTTTGTTGGTTGTCGGATGGGAGGGGATTATGAGGGAATGGATGAAGAGGTGAGGGGATTAAGACATACAAATAGTTACAGAATAGCTATGGGGATGTGAAGTACAGTATAGGAAATGGAGTAGCTATAGAACTTGTACGTATGACCCATGGACATGAACAAGGGTGGGTGGATTGCCTGAGGGAGTGGTGGGTGCTGGGTGGAGAGTGACAAAGGGGGAAAAGTGGGGACAAATGTAATAGCATAATCAATAAAATTTAATTAAAAATAAAATATAAAGTAAAATAAAATTTTAATAAAGGAAGAATAAGCACAGAGAAACTGCATAAAACAACAAAAGCAGTGACTTTGGAATGTGGGGTTGTGAAAGGGAGAGAAAAGTTGGGTCAGTAGTGGTCAAGGAAGAATTTTTTGTCTGCTTTTTAAAGCTGAAAATGACAAGAGCAAGGAGGTATTGTTTGTATATAGAAAGGAAGATCCTGAAAAAGAGAAAGTCCTTTGAAAGGGCACAGAAACTAGAGCCTAATTCAAATTAGTATCCTGTGATAAGAAACTGAAAATGTCATTAAACATTGTAATAGGACAGAAAATAAAGGAACTGTTAGGTACAGATGCTAGGATGTTAGTGGGCTGATGGTGGGAAATTGAAGAATTTTATAACTAGCTATAGTACCTAACTAGTACCTACTAGTTAGTTATATTATAGTACCTTCTAGTGAAAAAAACTAAATTCTTAACTGAAATTAAAGAGGGACAGTATAGTGGGGAAGAATTTGAAAAAAAAATGCTGAATAAGTTTTATGTATTCTACTTTCATTTTTTTCTTGCATTTTCCCTCCCAAGTCCCTTCCATTCAGGCCTTAACCCTGCTCTGCTGCCCAAATCATTTTCCAAAGTTTGTGGAAGTCCTTCCCATTGCTGCAAACCTGTTTTGTAACTGATCCGAGCTAATATATCTGAGCTGATCGGTCCATCCTCTTTACTACTACTATATATTCCTCCAGTACTTTCCAGAACACCATGCTATCTCAGTGTTTCTCCTACCTCACTTGCCATTTTCATTTCTTAGTCTCCTCTTTCATCCTCTCCTTCCCAAAGTATTGAATTTGGAGTGCTCTAGGGTCAGTGTATGGACTTCTCGTTTCTCTCTCTATTCATTCCTTTGGTGTTCTTGCCTTGTTTCCAATTTATATTTCTGGTCAAGTATTCTCTCCCAAGTTCCAGTCCCTTATTCTTCAATTTAATTTAGATTTCTAATAAATATCTTATAAATGAAATCTAGATTTTCTCCTACTAAACCTGTTCCACATACTGCCTTCCCTTCTCCAGTGACAGGGCCACAAGTTTGTGCAAGGCCAGAAACATTGGTGTCAAGTTTTATTCTCCTTTTTCTCTTCCACATTTTTTATATTAGAAATTCCATTGCTGTGTATTCAAAATATATGTAGAATATGATTATTTAGTACGTTATGTACTACTGAGCCATCTTCAGGTTTTGCTGGATAGTACAATAGCTCCTATACCCTTGCCTTACAATAATTTATTCTGAACATATCATACAGAGGGATTCTTTTAAAGAATAAGTCAGAATCTGATCCTCCTCTGCTTCAAATTAGCAGTGCCTACATATTTCCCTCGGAATGTAAGTGAGGGTCCTTATAAGACCTGGGAGGGCCTTGGAGACCTGGCCACCTGACGCTGCACTGTCTGCCCTGCAGCAACCCCCTTCACCAAACAGTCTGCTGCGGTTCTGCTCACCCCCTTGCTGAGGCTTGAATGTGCCATTATTCTGTCTCAGCATCTTTGTTCTTTCTCAATCAACTCTACCACTTTTTATCTTCTCTAGTTCCCTGTAAGAAATTGCAAGTTTAATTTTTACCTCAAACAATGTGGTTATGTGTGGTGGTTTGCAGTCTGGTTCTAAGATAACAAATTTCTGGATTCTTTGTGCATCTTTTTTTTTTTTAGTATATTATTGCTGCTAATTCTCACTCACATTTTCTTACCTCTGTTTTTCTGGATCTGATTGTGTATTGGATATTCTACTTGAAAATTTATTTATAGAAATCATGTGAGGCTTCAGAGATATTGTCATACTATATAGTCTTGCCTTTGCTTCTGTCAAATACCAGGAACCCTAGCAAAAGAGGGTTACTTTAATTTGATCTAAGGTTTTGAGATTTTTTTTTTTTCTAAACAATAATGTTTAGATGATTTGAGGCCAGGCTGAATTCCATATGAGATCTTCTGAATCTCCCTTACTCCTGGAGCTCAATCCATTCTTATCTCTGGAGACTCCAACTTTTATCTCTTTACACCTCTGGGAATGACCAACATTTGAATCAGCTTCTCAGCTACTCAACATTTGCAAATACCCACAAGGCAAAAGCAGATCTCAAATGCTGGACTCCTCTCTTCAGATTCCCACTCTCTCCTGATTTTGCTCCCAAATTCTTCACTCTTATTAGCTTACCAATGTTTTTAATATAATATTTTCCAATATTTTGTTCAATTTTGTTATTATCTATTATGGCAGGACTGCTTTGAGTTCCTTAGCCACCATTCTCAAAGGTGGAAATTCATACCAGAACTTTATACAAGTTCCATCTTGTTGGAATGCTTTTTATGTGGAGACCCACCCAGCCAACTTTCTCACCTTCTTCAAGTCTTTGCTCTAGTGCCACCTTCTGTAGATTGACAGTCCTATTTAAAATTGTAAGCACTCAGCACTCTTGACTTTTACCCTCAGAACAATTGGTTTTCTTAACATCTGGGCAGCTATATGTATACAGTGTCTGGCACAAATAATACTCCTTTTTATTATGAAATCTTTTATTAAAAATTATAGACATGTAATTCTGTAACATAACAATACCATGCTCAAGCACACCATATGGCATTTTAAGTAAAATGTTCAAATTAAATCTATAAATTATTACACCCACATTATTCCCCTGCCAACCACACTCAAGCAGGCCTTACTTCTGCAAGACCCCGTATTTTTGTGTGGGGGGGGGCCAGGGGGGCCAGAAACAAAGGTTTACTTTGGAAGAATGCAATACCCTAGCCTTCAAATTATTTCTCCTCTATTTTGTAATTGATTTTGCCACCTTCTAACATATGATTGAATTCACGGATTTATTATCGTATTGTTTATCTTAGCTCCTGCTGAAATGTAAGCTCCCAGGGGCAGGGCATCTTTGTCTCTCTTGTTTGCTGATAAGTCTGAAGTGTGCAGAATAGTTCCTGGCATACAGTAGATACACAATAATATTTGTTGTATAGATGAATGAATTATATAGCCACTTCATTTCAGAAAGTGGGAAGGTGAGGCTCTAAGAGAAAAACTGGGGACTTACCAGGGATTATTGAATACCCATTTGGAGTTTGTTATCATTAATTTATAGTGAAATTGATTAGTTTGATTGAAAGAGTTTGCCTGGTAATATTTTGCTTCTTAGGTTTAAGTTCAGAGAAAATGGATAAGGTTCATCCAGGTTGTGTGTGTGTTTGGTGGAGTGTGTTCACGAGGAGAAAAGTAGGCAAGAGAAATTAAGGTATAAATGATGAGAATATGCAATATACATAAACTAAGAGGTAATAAATCTCAAGTGGAGCTAATAAGGGTCAATGATTTTGAAGTCTCAATGAGGCTGAGCCTGAAGAAATGTTGCATTAGGGATATCTGAGAAAAGAAGATGGTGGCTAGGAGGGAGAGTTCTGAGAGTAGAATGTTAGAAATTGAAATTTCAGAGGTTTCCCATTAAAGTATAGGAATGGCTCTGGAAATGAATGATTGAAATGGAATGGATGAGAATACCTTTGGAGCTGAATAGCTTAAAGAACTGAGAGTACTTCTATATAAATTTTGAAGTAGGCAAAAATTATGTAAGGAACTATTATGATTCATGAATAAACATCATTCATAAATAAGGGAAAATTTACCAGAAAGCTGATACTTAACAGTAATGAAAAGTAATAAAATGATATAGTTTAATAAAATTATGTAGTCTAATAAAATGATTTTTAAAGGAACAGGGGACTTTTTATAGAAAAAAGGGAGTAATGGTTAGAACGCTCAATAAGAAAAAATAGGTAAACACTTATCCCAAAATTTAAATCTTTTAGTATTTTATTGATTACTTCAATATTATAATTATTTTTATTTTCATGCAGAAGCCTACAACTCTTCCAAGAGCAGCTGGCCGAGAAACCAAATATGTAAGTCCCTTCGTAATTATTGATAGTGCTTTTTTAATGGGTTCATGTGTGTGCTTTGAAGGCAATTCAATTATAGTCATTTGAATTGAATTCGTTGAGTTTTTTCATAAGTAGAAAGGGTTAAGATGGTATGATCAACCTAGATTTGGAAAATCAGATTATGTCTGGTAAGTCTATTGAGATAAATTCCTTCTTAAATGAGATCTGATTTGATTAATTTCACTAAGTAAAGCAGAACTTCAACACCTGTTTTCTGTCTTTCTAATTATCAAAGCTTAGATGACATTCTCATTTCTTAATGGTTTATTGTGGTTATTATACAATAGTCAACTCATATACTTGAAACAATGATCTGTCCATTTCTAATAGGAGTGTTAGTTTAGTTGATTTTTGACTAATTTGTTGCTTTTTTGCATTTAAATTATTAGCAAGCCAATTTTCACTTATGAACAAAAATAGATTAATAATAAATGTGTAAATACAGAGCCATACTTGTGATTCAATTAATTATTTATAGGTAGTTTTGAATATCCTAGACACATGTACACAGGCTTCACCCTAATAATGCGCTGTGGCCACTGTCTGCTTCTGTTCAAGCATACCAGGAGGGACACAAAAAACCTGGAATTTATTTATTAAAAATTGTGTATTTATTCTTATATGTTTAAACTTCAGTCACCTTCAAAGTACTCTCCATTTGATGCAATATACCTATCGAAACATTTTTTCCACTGCTCAAAGCAGTTTCTAAAGTCATCAGTTTTGATGCCTTCTGGTGCTTCTACTGTGTTTTGTTTCACCTCTTCTGTATCTGCAAAAGCATTTCCCTTTGAGGACTTTTTCCATTGGGGAAACAAAAAAAAGTCACTTGGAGTGAGATCAGGTGAATTGAGAGGGTGGGCATGGGGGTCATGCCGTTTTTGGTCAAAAACTGCTGAACACTCAGCATGGAGTGGGCAGGTGTGCTCATCAATCCCCCATCATGAAGTGGGCAAACATGTTGAGTCTTCAAAAAAAATTAACTGAAGTCAAACACAGCCTCTCAAAACACCAGCAGCTGGTACACTGGTATAGGTGGGTTCCTAGAACACTCATCTGGTGGGGGAAGCCTGTATCACAAGGGACCTACCCTCCAGAAGATAATTCCATGTTGGGGGGACCCCCCCTCGTTTTATAGTAGAAACAAGATGATTTTCTAACAAGTTCTTAGTTTAATACAAACCATTAAACTATTAATTTTATTATAATTATATTTTCTAATATGTATTTTCATCAGTATCATCACCATGAATAAATAGTTATTCAGTTTATATACTGTAACCTACATTTTTGCAATGATAAATTTCTACCTTCATTTGTATCTCTGTAAGGTGAATAATAAGTTGGGTGAAGTTACTGAGTTTTATCACATTCAGGAAGTGATATTTAGATGACATGGATAGGAACACCACTTAGAGCATTTCTAGAAGTTTGCACTGTTAATTTTTTTGTCATTATTAGAAACCATTTGGAATAATACTTAAAAGACTGGAGGCATCTAGTAGGCTATACTCAAGTTTACATCATATTATTGCTGCTTGCTATCTGTCTAACCCCAGAAAATCACTTAATGTTATGCCTTAATTTTGTCATATATAATATAGGGATAGGAATAACCTTACTTGGTTGCTGTAGGGCTTAGGTTGGTTAATATATGAAACACCCTTAATGTAATTCTGAAACACAGGAATCACTTAATAAATAACAGTTCTTCTTTTTCTTCTTTTTTCCTTCTTGCTTTCCCTTCATCCCTGCCCCTTCCCTTCTTTTCCTTCTACCTACCTTGGAAAGATGTACTGAGTTCCTTCCTTCTTCAGTTGGGTACAAGAAAAGAAAATATCCTAAAGATGTTTCTATACTTTGGTGACTAATACATTCTATAAGATCAAGAAGCAGGAAAAAGTAGCTAGAATTTTTTGCTCTCTCACCTTTCTTGTTTACTCCTACTTTTTATCAGAGTACCTTTTATTTAGACTGATTTACAATAAGATACAGAAGGCTGATGTCTCTTTCCAGCCCTTCCTGGTGGTGGTTAATTTGATAGGAATTGGAATAAGTCTGGAGGGGCTGCGTCAGTCTCCGTAGTTGGTTATTTGAAATTGTCCTTCAATCACTTACCAGACTTAAAATCAGATAACATTTGCTCAAACTTTGTGAGGGCATTTGAGTCGCTTGAAGTTTACATTGAATCATCAAACAAATTTACTATAAACTAGAAAAAATACAAACTCTGACTCAGATAAGGTTCTTGACTTTGATTAAATTTGTTTTTTTTTTCAGTGAGAACCTTTGCTTTGCATTTCCTCTTACAATCTGACATTTGCATTGTTGTTTGTGATACCTCAAATACTTTCTTACAGAAATTGGAGAAGAGCTGGCCAGAGATCTGGTCAATGTTAAAACAAATTTATAAAGTTGTTAGTTTTCAGTGTATCAGAGTGTCCTTTGGATTTTCAAATTTCCTGGGATAGCTATAAATGGTTTAATTAAATAATGAGAAGTTGTATGACCAACTCCTAATTATGGGCCCTTTGGCGAAAGGCTGACTTTTCTCCATTAAAAAAAGACAAGAAAACCAATGCAAGACATAGTTTCCTTTTCTTATTCTTTATTGTACATATTTTACATGTCCTGTAGTGTTTTATAGGATGACCCAGAAGCAGTACAAGTACCACCAAGTCAGAATAATTAAAGTTAAGGTTATTTTCAATTCATGGTGTACTTGAGTTGCAGGTTATTTTAAAGTACAGTTGACCCTTGAACAATGCAGGTTTGAACTGCGCAGGTCTACTTATATTTCAATAAATGATATGTGTTTTTTCTCTTCCTTATGATTTTCTTATAACATTTTCTTTTCTCTAGTTTATTTTATTGTAAGAATACAGTATGTAATACATACAATATACCAAATGATGTTAATTGGCTCTTTTTAATTTTCTTGTATTTTAAAATTATTTTAAATTGCCTCTTTAACTTATCTGTAAGGCTTCACATCAACAGTTGATTGTTAGTAATTAAGTTTGAGAAGAATCAAAAGTTATATGTGGATTTTTTATTGTGTAGGGGGTCAGCACCCCTAATTCTTGCATTGTTCAAGGGCCAACTGTGATTTAATTTAGGTTCTCTTAAGAGTAATAAAATTTAAACTAGGTTAATGACATGCTCAGTGATATCCACTGGTGGTTACTTGTAGAACCAATTATGTGGATTTGTCAGCAATATTTCACTGATTGTTGTTAACAGATGCCAAATTCAACAACAATGATAATAACTATCGTTTTAAGTTCTCATATTTCAATTGAGGTTTAGTCCTCTCATTTAACCTCACAATAATCCCATGAGGGGGATATTGTGATTATAATGTCTCCATTTTACAGAGGAAATAACCAAGTGTCAGAAGTCACAGTAGGTAAAACCAGTCAAGGTCTTCCACATGTTGAAGGCATTGATATTAATATTTATATAAATCTACAGAAGCTTGGAATAGTTTGTCTTCCTCAAATAGTTTACCCATAAGTGTTTATTCTTTGAGTCTAACTTATTTCTTTATGTACAATTACCTTCAGTCTAACTTTGAATAAGTAAGTTTGTATTTGGTAATATAGGATAATAATGTTTTACTATATTGCTAGAGTTTTAAATCACTTGCTTATATGTAAATTAACTCATAATTTATCAGATAATTTATGAGTGATTATTTCTGATGATACTCATTTTTTAAAGACTTTCTTTCCCTCTGTGTAAAGGAATAAATTTTGTATTTAAATTTATATTTCACTCTGTTTTAACTCTATTTTCTTTGGAGGGGAGTATCATTTTTTTCTTCACGTTACAGTTATCTTTGTAACTATGTATTATTTTTATTAACTACTACCAGTTTAAATTCACTTCATTCATGAAATTCAAAACCATAGTATACTCTTAAATAAAGAGAAATCTCAAAAAATAGGGCAAGTATTTGGAGTTATTAGTAATTTGTCAAAAAACCCTTGGTTAGAATCACATTCTGTTGATAAAATCTTATATTATAAACTGTGTACATTTCACAGGTTACTTTTAAATTCCAGAGAGATAACAGAGACAGACTTATTGAATATTATATAGAATACAGGCAACATCTCATTTTAATGAGCTTGAGGGACAGAAAATATCATTACAATTGCGTACATGCTGCTTTCAAAATGTCACAATATATTAAAAAGTGTGAAACTTTATTAAAAAATTCTCCACTATATAAAAATGTAAAGGTCATTGTCTCCAATTTAGCCAGCTCACAAACCCCTTGTTGCTATGCTTGCAAATGTTGCTGAGCTGGAGTGTTTCAGGGTTGATGAGCAATAATGTAGTCAGAGATCTCAAGCTAAGAGGTGACTTAAATCCAGACTTGGGTTCAAATATGCTTCTGTAGGATGTAACCAGGGCTTTGATGAGTTACAGGAATAGTAGCGAAAAATTTAAGCAAGAAATTCCACTCTACTTATCAGGCAGTCTTATTTCTTTTTTTCACTGTTTAGAGATATTTCTAAGGTATCCTCACAGGCAAGGGGTTGAGGAGGGAATGGAACATCATTATCTGGGTACTGCTAGCTGGGGGGAAGAGAAAGGATTTAATGAGAAACCGTTTGCGCCCAGTATCCATCTCATCATTTCAGACTTCATCAAGTGTAGATAATGGTGCCATAAGCCAGGTTATAGAATATAGATTATGGGATTTTGTGTCACAGAAGAGCATTCTTACACTCATCTCTAATGTTCTTCACAATCAGTATTAACATGAACAGACACAAATGATCAGCAGCTTAGGGTTGAAATCCCTAGTTCTTGAAATCTAATTTCAATTTCATTTTTATGTACTTCATGTTGCTTCTCTATCTTAGTTTAATTGACTGATAGGCAGTTGTTCATATAAATAGTAGCCTCCTCCCTGAACGCTCCAGTCTCAAGTCACCAAACAATGTTTTCTCACTTTTTGAAAATCAGTTGCTCAATTTTGATAATGTAACTATAGCTACAACATTTAATAAGCATCATTAACCTGTATTTGGCAAGGAGAGGGGGGCTTCTCAAAAGATTGTATGTGATCGAGTTGGTTGAAAGATTATGGTTTATATTCGTGATAATACACATAAGCCAATATTTTTCTTCTTTGCCAAAGGATCTGCAGTGGCTTTATAGGTTTTACTCCACCCCGAATTTCATATTTATTAATTCTGTCCTTTTTCTGGGAGTAATTTCTTGTAATAATGATATGAAGTCCATTATATTAGCTAAAAGAAAATGTACTGGGGATATCTAAAGCATCTTATTGTTATGTCATGATCCCCAGTGAAGAAATTTTAGGGACTTTTGGAGACTGGATACATTGGGTTTTTCCTAATTTAACTAATATGTTTGCTTGAGCATTTTTTTTTCCTTATAATAGATATCACTTAGCTCAGTGTACTGATAAATGTTAGCAATATAGTTAAATTGTGCAAATACTTTATTGTTAGCATATAACCTCTACTTTCCTATAATTATTGAGATAAAAATTTATATTTTGTTTTAGCCAAGATGCATTTAATTCAGCATATTTTATAGTAGGTATTAGTTTAACTAAGGAAATTCATAGAGATTCTCTTATTATTACAATAATGTAAAATGAACTAAAGGGAAAAATGATTTTAAAAGAAATCATTATTTCTCACATTACATTATGAAGTTACAAACAAAACTCTAAGTGAACAGAAAAAAATACTATTGTCAGAAAAAATAGGGTTCTTCCATTATACTGTAGGAAATGCACTTCAGGGTTGTGTGACCAGGAGGATTTGAGGCAAAGTGGCAAGACGTACTGGAGTGTAAACAAAGGACACCATTGTGTACCCCAGGTATACCATGCACAATGTCTCATCCATGACTAGGTGGTTCAGCTCCATGTCACTGAGGAAGAAGTCCTGCCTCTGGGACCACAGGCCAGCACTTGTCCCCACCAAGCGCAGGGGGAGGTCCAGGACCCAGGGCTGCTGTACCGTTAGCTCAGCATCCAAGGCTCCAGTCATCCAGCACAGTTCCCAGTGGGCTGGCCATTCGAGCTGTGCTTTGGCCTGGGGCTCCTGCAGAGAGAAAGCATGAAGGTGGTTGGTACCCAGAGCAGAGCAGGCTTTCTTTAAACTATCCAACCTGTTTCCCGAATCTTCCCAGGGCTATGCTGATACTTCCCCCTATTCAATCTCTTTCCTGGGTCTTCCTGGGGGTTGTGCCCTTAACTTATTGAATCTTTTCCCTAGGTTTTTCTCCTCCCCTTTATGGTCACCATTTTTGTTCTTACTGTGCACACCTCATAGTAAAAGGACCTCCCCTCAAGTCATCTTGGCTTCTACTACACATGCCTCAGCACAGCAGTTCCCGCTCACTGTTTATCCCTCCCTGGTTAATCTGGGGAAAGTGTTGGCTGTTCCCTGGGGTGATTGGAAAGCCATCTTTCCTGCCTACTTGGCAATTAGTATCTGTTTGGTGGAGGATGTGGCTGTTCCCAGGAGTGTCTGTGAAGCTGCCCCTTCCCAGTTAAACTGGCTTAATTAGATGTCTGGCTCCCTTCATTCATCTAACTTTTAGTATCTAACTGGCTGCCTACTGTAATGACAATGTGATGTACATTCTGAAGGGCAGTTTCCCGCCGCACAGAATAGCCGTAAACTTCAGTGCATACTACCCTGGTCTACAGCAGTTAGAGCTGGGAACACTTGGCCAAGATGTTGGTTGCCACGAAGCATCCAGAAATGGCAGCAAGTAGTGCCTGTCCTACAAAATGGCCTGACTGCAAAAGCAGAAAACAAACAATGTGGGACACACTGTGAAAAGGACTGCACGTGCCTCTTCATTGTGTTTGGTGATTCACAAGCCTCTATGCTTGGCAATACCATTAGAACTACTAAGTTTTCAGTGTTCAATGCATTTCATCTGTCAGAGAGTAAGAGCCATATTGACACATCTATAATAAACTCTGAAAATGTTTGCTGTTTCAACAAGAATAGACATATTTAGGAACACAACTGTGTTATATTTTAGCTAAGTATATTTATAATTGTGCATCTTTGTCAACTATTCTCCACAAAAGTTGAAGGTTTAGCTGATATGTGAACTCAGCCCCCTATTTAAATGCAACAATGCTTGATAAAATATATGGTAACTATTAAAATAAGCCTTTGTAACCCAACTGAAAAAAAAAAAGAGAAATCTCTGAGTGCCAGAAATGGTGTAGGAGCTTCAAGTGAGAATGTTAAAAAGAAGCTAAAGCTCCAGTGGAACATAGGTACTTCAGAACCTATGTACTAGGAGCCAGGAGCTTAGATTTGAACTTTCACTACTTAGTAGGTCTAAGACCTGTGAAGAAATTCTTGTGTACATCCAAGAGCCTAGAAGGTTACAGTGGACATAAAACATGAGACAAACAAACAAACAAAAAGGATAAATCCATCCATTATCTTTACCCTACACTCTTGGGTAGTAAAATAGACATACAACCTGGAGGACTTAAAGATGTGGTGCTACACCATGCTGGAGGTTTAGAAGTATCAGGGTGATAAAGTGGAAGCAGGTCCAGAGCTAGTCAAACTCCAAGGTCCCAACAAGGGTGAATTGGAAATGTATTGTAGAGATTGGTTTCCAACCCAGGGCTTGCTTCTCAGATACGTACAGAAATTGTCACCAGTTACCCTGACTGAAGATGAGCTAAAAAAGAAAGCTGTAAAATGACTAAAGATTATTATGGGGGAGAGACATGAGACAGAGTCTGCAGATAAAAGATATAGGAGATTTAGCAAAGAGGGACTATAGAAAAATCTGGAAAAAATTTATAAATATGTTCAAAATATTAAAATAGTTAATAGGAGTTATAGTTACCATAAAAATAGATTTATAAAAAGAACCAAATAGGACTTCTGTAAGTCAAAAATAAATTCATTGTTTATAAATATAAAACATACTAGTATACAGTTGAAGAAAAATTAATTAATTATTGGGCTTATGTGTGGAGACCATCTAGAATGCAGCATAATGAAATAAAAAATGTGAATGGGATTTTATAGAAATGGAGGATGGATTGAGAACATCCAAAATATATTTAATAGAAGCTCCATGAGATTAGATATAATGGGAAAAAGGCAACATTTGAAGAGATATATTCATGGAGGATTTTCTGGAATTAAAGACAGATATGCATACTGAAAATGAAGGAATACACCAAGTCCCACAGAAGGATGCATAAAAAGAAACCCACTCTCAGAGACATCATAGTAAAATTACAGAATGTCAGAGATAAAAAGTCTTAAACACTAACCAAATGTGTAGACAGCAGAGCTGCCCAGTCATGATGTTTAGCCACCTGGCCAGTGGGAATGGAAGCCCAAGCTGGTGTGATGGGACCATCGAGATGCTGCAGGACAGCAACTGTTGCCCCAGAATTCTATGTCCAGTTAAACTCCCATTCAAGAATGAAAAGAGAAATATTTTCAGATAAAGTCCAAGACAGTAAGGTCTGAAAAAAATTACTGGAGCATTTACTTCAGTAAGAACAACGAAATCCGAACTAAAGGAGTAAAACACAGAAACAAAGGATGAAGAAATAACATTGGCCTCGCCTTTAATTTAAAACAACTTGTAAAAAACCAAATCATTTTATTGCACAAATCATGAAAACTTTGGGTTTTTATGTATGAAGATACTTAAAGAAAAATCTGTTTTTGTTTTAATTTGCAATAAATGTAAATATCCAACAATGCTCATATGCATAAGTAAAATGTGATACAGAGAATTAACTATTATGTGACCTTGAAGAATTTTTGATGTTTTGTGATAGTGCTTATGCTAAGATGCTCAGGGAAATCAACATATAAAACATCCTATTTACTCTTATGTGAGCTGAATAAAAACACATAGAAAAAATACTGTAAGGCAGTGTACCAAAAATACTAAAGGTCATTTTTGGTGACATAATAATTTTTCCTTTAATTTTATACTTTTTCAAAATCTTACAATGAACAGATTACTTTAATGATAAAAGAACTTCAATATGCTGAGTAACATAGATATATTATTTTACTAAATAAACACCATGTTTGTATTTTGCAGGCAAACCTCTCCTCACCATCCTCCACAGTATCTGAAAGTCAGCTGGTATGTATCCTCTGACTAAGTCATAGATCTACTTTAGAAATTTCTGATCCCTCAAGATAACTTTATTTGAGCAAAAGTGAACTGGGAATAAATTTATTACATATAAGTTAGTTTGCTTACTTTTCTAATAAAAGTTTACTGATGCTTTACTGAAGTTCAATGGCAGTTGTTTTGCAGGCTACAAACATACATAAACCCACCCTTATTTGCCAGTAACTTGCATTCCTAGTAGTGGTGTTAGAATAGACTTGGTGGGGTCAGCAGCAAGAAATTGGATTTTAGAGAAGGCGAGAGCTCACTTCCTGATGGAAGAGATCAGAAGAGCATTCAAGGAAAAGGTTATATTAGATAATGCAGGGTAGGATCTGGACCTGAGGAAATGGGAAACAAGGTATTTCAGACAGAAAGATTATTAACATGAGTATGGCCTAGACTAGTGATGAGCAATAGAAATATAATGAGAACCATAAATGCAAGCCACATATGTCATTTAAAATTTATTAGTAGCCACATTAAAAAAGTAAAAACAAACAGATCAGATTCAATACTATACTATTTGTTCAATTATATTATATATTATGTATTATATATAATATTCTATAACAATGTTATATATTCAATAATATGTATCGATAATGATTATATATATATTATTTCAACATATAATCATTATAAAGTTGAGATATTTCACATTACTCTTTGGACACTGTGAAACTCATTACATATTTTACATCTGTAGCTCATCTCAAATGCAGACTAGCCACATTTCAAGTGTCCCTCACAAGGACTAGTGACCACTGTGCTGGACAGCACAGATTGAGACTCTAGAATCTGTTATTTATAGATAAAATTTTGATTAAATAGGAGGATTACTTTTTCCTAACAAATTGAATCCATGAAGTAAGTTACCTCACTATTACTAGTTGAAGAATCCCTTTGTAGCTTTAATTTGTATTGCTTATAAACTGAAAATTCCTGAGAAATAGACATGTTCAGTGAAATTAATGAAAGTTTTTAGTAAAGCAGTTTGAGACATTAAGAAAACAAAATCACTGCTTAACATTGACCTTTTTCCCCCTTTCAAAGCAGTTATTTCAGTGTCCCACCTCCATGGCCAACAAGTCATCTTGTCATTATCATGCCACAAGGACAAAAACATTTTTATTTTGTCTGCAAAACCATAAAAGGGTAGTCTGACTGTTAAAATAACCTGATTCAATCAAACTGCTTGGGTTGGTGTTCACACACATAGTGCACATGTATGGAGCATGTTTGCGTGTGTGTGTAATTTTAATGGTAGTTGGTTTTGAACGTGGCAGGCAGTATAAGATTGTTGAGAGAGTGCTGGCATGGGGGCCACACGATCCACCTGTACTTCCTGCTCTGACACTGACTACTGCACTGACAGTAGATAAGTCATGAATCTGAGACTGGGCCTCCAGCTCCTCACGGAACAATAAGAGCATTCTCTTACACAGGAGCTTCCCGAGCCTTTCAAGTGCTGTGAGTCTGTCATTACTAACACAGTGAAGTGAAGGAGTTGCCATGGAAACCAGCACTGCAATAACATAATAAAGCTGAACAGTTTCCCACTTTAGATATGAAAATATTACTATAACTATTTTAATATTTCAAATAATGATATACTTTTCTTGAGAATAATGTTGAAAATCAAGAATATTTTTAATATTCCTCAAAGGAGGCAGGATTGAGGGTGGGAGGTAGGGATGGGTGGGGTGGGGGAAAGTGGCCGTGGGAAAATGGAGACAACTGTACTTGAACAACAATAAAAAATGCAAAACAAAATTCCTCATGTATAATTATACTCAATAGTATAATAGATTTTAGATATTAAATGATGACATATGTATTTAGTTATATACAAATATTTATTTTTTTGCATATATATTATCAGACTGACATATATATGAGAGTTCTTGGCTTAATATTTTAGGAAATTATTTCAAAGAAGCAAATATACATAATGACTTCATGAAATGGGACATAGTAAAAATAACTCATTACAAATATAATATTTAAACCTTTTCATGCATTAAAAAATAATTCTATAAATTCTATGTTTGTGTTCTCTAGGGAGGAAAATACAAAGCATTGCTTTGACTGACTTTGATGATAATTTCTTTGCATTTACTTTAGACCTTTTCTCTAAAAGGTTCAAGAAAATTTTTAACCAAGTTTTAAATTAAATTTTAATATCCAAATGCCCTTGAGATATACGTGGGTTTGTGAAGGGATTATAAAGTAAACTTATCACATAAAAAAGGAACATTTCCTGTGTTGATATTATTATTTAATTCAATCCCATTGACTTCATTTTGTGACATTAACCCTGTACTTACATTACCTGGGAATAAAATAGAATAGATTATAAATTGTTGCCTGCAGCAATGTTATATGGCATTTACTTTTTAAGGATTTATAATATTTTTACTTTTAAGTAATACAATTTGTAAATTAAATTATACTTTTTTAACTTTTATGAATGAATTTTCAATATTTGCCTGACTTGGACTCTGGCCTGCAGTGTCTGTGGCATTATGGATGAGATCTGAGACAAATTCACATGGACTACTGAGTCCTGTGGAGGAAAAAGAATGGTGCAGATTCTCTTTCAAGAGGAGAAAAAGCCTTGGAGTGCCTTGGTCACTCTCTCAAGAGGAGAGGGCCCTGACCCTTGCCTTGACAAGCTTTTATTGGATTCAATTTGCATGGTAATACAGGGTGTATACATAAAGCTCATCAATCATTGTCAGGCAGAAATGATCAAACAATAGATAACATATAAAGAACTCTGAAGGCCTATTTTAAGTCAGAGTCAGATAGCTAAAGGGCCATAAAACTTTCAGGAAAAAACTCACTTCCTGCTTGATCCCTTATTATTTAAATTAGCAAAGTAGGCTTTATAGGATTTTAAGCATTTTTTCTTAAGCCTGATCACCCTAGGAAACCTGCCTTTTCCAGCACCCACCTCCAGCATTGTTTCAGGCTTAAGCCAGGCAGGGGAGTAAGGTAGCCAAGAGATTAGGAGACTTCTTGCAGACAGAATGAGGACTCAGGCTATGTCAAAGCCCAGGGGTGAGGGTCCATCACCCCCTTTTTCTATAGCCCCCCAAGTTCATGCCTGTCTTAGATCGTCCCTCCCTTGAGGAATCTTACCCATCATGGGATAACCAATCAAGAATTGGGGTCCAGGCAGGGTGATGTAAAAGAAGCAGAGTGGCACCCCTGCCAGGGAGATAAGCTTTGTCTCCTTAGTAGCTTATGATCCCAAGGTGCTCACTCAGCCTTAGCCTTGCAGGGATTATAGCTCCTGAAACCAGGCAGGGAAGTTCCCAACATTTGCCATAATGAATTCTCTTCAGGATTAAGTTCTGAATAAATTAATAAATGAGAATCCTTTTGAAAAATAAAACTACATATATACACACATATGCTTATAACACATACATGTATAGATGCCGTATGACTGGTAATTCTGATGATACATATTGGTTTTTGTTCATATGTGTGTATTATATATATGTATTTGTAGAGCACAGAAAAACAAAATTACTGGGAATATGTGATAGATTATAATTAAATTACATAAGTAAATGTTGTATGTTTTATATAGAATAAGTAGTTAAAATTATTTGGCTCCTATTTTAGGCAGGAAATGTAATAAACTGGTTGAAGTGAAAATGTATGATAAAATGCTGTGGCAGCAAAGCCTCATACAGAAGCCATTTTGTTTTTGAGAACTGGCTTTTTAAGAGTATATCACTTTTTCATAATTATTTTTTTCCAGTGAAATGGAAAATTTATTCCTCTAAATTTTAAAAAACTTTTTTTTCTTGAATTTTTCAAAATTGTTGTTCAAGTACAGTTGTCTCCATTTTCCCCCCACCCCGGCCATCCCCACCTCCCACCCTTGATACTGCTTGCTTTTGGTTTTGTCCGTGTGTCCTTTATACATGTTTCTGAAAACCCTTCTCCTTCCCTCCCAACTGTCCCCTCCCCCCTCCCCTGTGGTTACTGTTAGTTTGTTCTTTATTTCCATGTCTCTAGTTATATTTTGCTTGGTTGTTTGTTTTGTTGATTAGATTCCACTTATAGCTAATCATATGGTATTTGTCTTTCACCGCCTGGCTTACTTCACTTAGCATAATGCTCTTCAGTTCCATCCATGCTTCTTTACATTGCCATTGTGCCAATTAAACATTGGAAGAAAAAATATATGATCTGACCCTTACTATAAAAATATGTTTATTCTTTGCTCTGGAAGCCAAATTATTTAGTAGTGAGCTCAAGGAGAGTAATTTGGGGGTTCTTATGAAACTAATTCACCAATCTCTGCATCAGTTTCTCTTTTTCTATTAAACAATATCACAGTACATCAAAACTGAAAAGAAACTGAGAGTCAAGGGTCTTGGAACTACCTATCTAGAAAATGGGGGTTGGTATAACTCTTCTGTCAGCCTCAAGGAGTTACTGTAAGGCTCCCCTAGTATAGTATGTGAAGCTGCCACTGCCCCCTGTCCAGATGGGAGGTATTATTATTAACACAAAATCTCTAAAATATTAACTCTGAGATAATATGAGAGACCATTTTTATAGACCAAAACATAGGCCCACAGCTTTTAAATATATTATCTAAGATCAGTGTTAGTGGTCATCCTTGCTCTGTATAACTTTCAAAAGGAATTGTTATGGATTTTAGATAATTTGAGGGAATATGAAAGATTGATGAAGAAGTTGGGGAATTGGGTCTCTATGGAAGTGTGACATTCATTTGGACATCTGTGTCGGGTCTGCAGAGATGTGACCCCTTACTGAAGAGAACACTGAGCAGGGTCAGTCTGTACGGTGTAGAGGTTTTTCACCTGTGGGTAGTATGCCCCTAGTATAACAAAGCGAGCAAAGGAAAGGAGAATCTAGTTTGAAACTTCACAAGCTTTCCTAATTCCTGAGCTGAGTTATCACAATATTAACAGAGGCTG